TCGTACGTTGATGCGGAGCTTAGCACTGAGGGTTTTGTGTTTCAATCGTAATTAGTTTTCATATCCTTAATAATATTGTCAGTAATATATTTATTAAATCTATAATTCACTTGTACTTGACTACTAGTATCTATAATGATCGACTGTGATCATTAGATTTATTAGTATACCGTTCTAAAAAGAACACGTTAAATTATAAAAAGATGTGTGGTGTCTTGGGACACCGGATAGGAACGAAGTTCCTTATTATAAAAATATTAATTTTAAGTTCTATTCGAGGTATAAAAAAAATATTTATTCGGGTATACATTTTTTTTAATGATTTTTTTATTGATAAAAATAAGAAAAAACTACTTTACAAAGTTATCAGCTTTATTTTATTCACAATGATTTATAAAAAATATATAATAATAATATACAAAGAAACAGCTATTTATATGAATAATAATAACTGTCATCACGTAGACTATACTTTAGACACTGTATAGCCATCATTCTAAGATAAATAATAAAAATCTTACGTTACGGACGTTTTTTCCCGGTTAGGGTACCCCTCCGCAGCGTCCCATAAGGAACTTCGTTACAAAAATTGCTATATCCCTAAACTGACACATTAAAATATGCATTATTTAGCATTTCAATAAGTTTGTTCGACCTAAAATTGGGTAGGGCACTACGACTATAGAATAAAATGCCGCTGGAGCCAAAAAGGTTTCAAGTGACGATCGTAAACGATGTAAACCTGAAGACGCGGCGTGGGTAGACCTCCTACAAGCTGGACAAACGACCTGTTGAAGGTGACGCGTTTTCGCTGAATGTGGGCTTTTTTTATGATTGCACAAGCTTTTGCCCGCGACTCCGTCCGCGTGGAATAATTACTTTGGCAGAACGCTAAATTTTATCCCCACCTCATTTACGTAAAAAGTGAAAATATTTTTGAATTATAGAATGTTAAGGAGCTATTCAAACCCCTATTTTGAAACATTATTTATTGGTGATCCACTTGCATTGGTCTTAGCGTGATGCTATATAGGCTCAATAAATGGGCTATCTAACACTGAAAGAATTTTTCGAATCGGACCAGTAGTCCCTGAGATTAGCGCGTTCAAACAAACAAACTCTTCAGCTTTATAATATTAGTATAGATAATTGCTGGTGGCCCGGAGGCCTTTCCAGTTTCACCAGAACAGGTGGGCGAGCAAAGGCTCAGCCAGGAGGGGTGGGATTTGATAAAAGCTGCCCGAACGCCTCCGAAAGAGACCTAACAACTCAAGAGCAACTGCTTCGCGAATGAATCTACTCAGCGGATCGGAATCACGACCCGCTGAGAAGATCCGGCGAGAAGCTCAGCGGGCTGATGAATGCGGGCCTGCCCATTACTGGTCTGTATTGAGTCAAATCATTAACCCACAGATCTGTTACTCAGTATCCCACTATACGTCGTCAAACATGACGATGTTTTATCTTTATTAAATTACATTATCCTTAGTCGCCAAATCCAAACATGATACTTAGGTAAACTTAACCTTGACGATTGCAAGCTAATCGTGATGTCGTGACACACGTGATCCAAGACCCGAGGCTCGGCCGTTTGTCGTTTTTCAACTTTTGTGTGTTAAATGTTCTAAGTTCTTCAATCACGTGTGTGTACTGTATTAAATTTGACATTTATAAACAATCTCGAACGTAAATAAAAACGTTCTTTAAATCGCTGGGTTACACGATTTAGATATTTCATTTGTCTATTAAAATAGTTTCTAAAAATGCATATAAATATTGTACGGTGAAACTAAAAAAGCCTAATCGCCGATAATCTATTAAATGAAAACAAATAATTAACTAACACTATGTCATACTCTGTGACTTCTGTGAGCTGAATTGATACATAATGTTATCCCTCGCAATTTACACTGTAGCTGCATTAACCACAGTTTGAATAGTTTTTTTAAATCAAAAATTTATCTTCTACATTATATGTTTTCATACTATTTTCATACCCTTCTCTACTTACAATATTTTCTTGGACGTATATTTACTTCTTTGTCGTGTACCTACTCTATACTAGATCTATCAAAAATACTTAGCTCGGTTTTTTTTAAATAATTAGCAGTAACGTAATTAAAAAAAAGTGGGCACTCACGTAAAGAAATAGAGGTTAACTTATCATTGCTTATTAAAAATATTGTTATCTATAGCGGCAAAGACAATATTACAAAGCTGTTCAGAAGCGGCTAATTTAAAAGCCAGTTCTATTTGGCAATAAAAGTACTTGATGAATAAGAAAAAATAGAACATAATGGCATCAAAGCCATTAAAAGTGGTTTCAAATAGGTATTCAATATTCACTAAATTCATATTCTTCCTTAGCCCGTTTAAATAACACTATTCTGTTGTTTTTCGACAAAATTCTAGGCTGAAAATGATTAAAATGAAATTAGCATATACATAATGAATTACTCCAACATCGAACACGGGTCAGTGAAAGAAATAAAAATGTCGATCAAAACCCATATTTTCTCTCGTATACACTCGGTTTTATGTGCTCGTGACTGAAGCAGTTATCACGTTAATGTCACTCGAAGTTACGTCAGTTTTGACAAGTGTTGAGCTTAATACACGATTGGATGAATGACTTAAGTAGGTACTTCAATTTATTTAAAGACTGACCTGACTCAATGACCACACATAATAATAACAAATTCGACGACTTCGGCTTGGCTTTGACCGAATTTTATTAAAGATTTCATCCTGAAATTCAGTTTACAAGAAAAAGTATCTACACATATTTTTGGAGTTTACTCCTTTAGAATCGATTTACATATATAGGCCCTGGGTATGAAAATTATGGGGACCAAAATCGTACTAGCATGTCACACGAAATGCGTTATGCGCCTGCGCCGGCAGTCCGCCACAAAGCCTCGTACTGATCGCGCGTTTCTCTCATTATTGTATTTTCATATATTTGTTAGTCGTTTGTTTTGTGTCTCGTTAATTTGTTAATAATCTGTAGTGTATCGTGTTGTCGTAATATAGAACTATTTCTCGTATTGTTTCGTTTAATTT